GGCGCATTTCTGCAGGGCCAGGGAGGCAGCTCCAGTCAGGGGGCATCTCCTCCTCAGGCCAGGCCAGGGTGTGGGTTGGTTGGCGACCGGAGGAAGCGGGCTTTGTCCTCGCCGGGGCTTCCTCAGCAGCAGAGTCCGGAGCTGTGGGGCTTTGGTCTGCCTCGGCTGGGCTGCTCTAGCTCTGCAGTCAGGCCTGGGGCTCTGGGTCAAGCCGCTCAGACTCCCCAGTGGCCCTTCTCTCGCCCTCCAACCCCAGATCCATCGCTCCCGGGTCTCGGGGTCAGCCCTCAGCTGTGGGCCCCTCCCCACAGCCACACCTGCCCCACTTTGGACTCACGGACACGGAAACTTTGGCCACCCAACCTTCCACCTGGCCCAGCATGGCCATCCGATGCTTTGGGCTCCTCCTGCCCCCATTCCCTTGGGAGGTCAGGTTTCCTGGGCTGGGCATCTCAGCCAGCTCCAGCGATGGGGCCCCCGGGTTATCCTGGCCCCGAGCCTCCCCACGGCGCCTCCTGTGGCTCTGGGGACAGGTGGTACCTGGAGCCTGAGACCTTCAAGTCTCAAGGGACGGCAGACCGCAGCCGGCTCTGCCTCCCACACTGGGCAGTCTGGGCACTGCCCGCAGGTGGGAGATCTGAGCCGCAAAGAGTCCTCACACCAAGGCCAGCTGGCTCCGGGGGAAGAGCTCTGAGACAGAAGGCACCCAGCTCACACAACCTCTTTGTACCATCCAGCCCGCGGTCCACTCATCAACCAGCCGTTCCAGTGCATGGCAGTCGAGGCAGGCCTTCCAGAGCTAGGCCTTCTGGGCTTCAATTCGCAGTGGCCACAGGCAGCAAGCACCCAGCTTCCTCAAAATTCTACAGGGGTTCTAAGAGTAAAAAGAAACTCTTCTCAACCCATTGAGGGTCCAGCAGTTTTATCAGTGAGGTGAGCAGAAGCCTGGAACCCATGAGGACAGCTGGGAGGGAGAGGGCTGGGCAGTGGGTCTGAAAGGCCACCCTGCAGGGAACAGGCTATGTTGGGGTCCCGCCGCTCTGAGGCCTGCTGGTCATCAGTTCGCCATGGTGTGCTTTTTGGGGACATTGGTAGATAAATGATGACATTTGAGAATGTGGCTTTCAGTTCAGTTGGCTTTCAGTTCAGTTTAGTAGCTCAGTCGTGTCCGACTCTTTGAGAGCCCATGGACTACAGCACACCAGGTCTCCCTGTCCATCACTAACTCCCAGCTTGCTCAAACTCATGTCCATTGTGTTGCTGATGCCATCCAACCATCTCATCCTGTGTCCTCCCGTTCTCTTCTGCCTTCAATCTTTCCCAGCACCAGGGTCTTTTCCAATGAGTCAGTTCTTTGCACTGGCCGGCAAACTATTGGACCTTCAGCTTCAGCATCAGTCCTTCCAATGAATATTCAGGACTTATTTCCTTTAGCATTGACTGGTTGGCTCTCCTTGCAGTCCGAGGGACTCTCAAGAGTCTTCTCCAACACCACAGTTCAAAAGCATCAATTCTTCGGCACTCAGCTTTCTTTATGGTCCAACCCTAACATCCGTACATGACTACTGGGAAAACCATAGCTTTGACTAGATGGACCTTTGTTGCAAAAGTAATGTCTCTGATTTTTAATATGCTGTCTAGGCTGGTCATAACTTTTCTTCCAAGGAGCAAGCGTCTTTTAATCTCATGGCTGCAGTCACCATCTGCAGATATTTTGGAGCCCAAGAAAATAAAGTCTGTCACTGTTTCCATTGTTTCCCCATCTATTTACCATGAAGTGATGGGACCAGATGCCACAACCTTCATTTTCTGAATGTTGAGTTTTAGGCCAGCTTTTTCAGTCTCCTCTTTCACTTTCATCAAGAGGCTCTTTAGTTCCTCTTCACTTTCTGCCATAAGGGTGGTGTCATCTGCATATCTGAGGTTGTTGATATTTCTCCCGCAATCTTAATTTCAACTTGTTCTTCATCCAGCCTGGCCATTTCACATGATATACTCTGGATTTAGAAAGGGCAGAGGAACCAAAGATCAAATTGCCAACATCCACTGCGCTGAACATGCAAGATAGTTCCAGAAAAACATCTACTTCTGCTTTGTTGACTATGTCAAAGCCTTTGTGTGGATCACAACAAACTGTAGAAAGTTTTTAAAAAGATGGGAATACCAAACCACCTGACCTGCCTTCTGAGAAATCTGTATGCAGGTCAAGAAGCAACAGTTAGAACTGGACATGGAACAGCAGACTGCTTCCAAACTGGGAAAGCAGTAATTCAAGGCTGGATATTGTTACCCTTCTTATTTAATTTATATGCAGAGTGCATCATGTGAAATGCCGGGCTGGATGAAGCACAAACTGGAATCAAGATTGCCAGGAGAAATATCAGTAACCTCAGATACGCAGATGACACCACCCTTTTGGCAGAAAGTGAAGAGGAACTAAAGAGTCTCTTGATGAAAGTGAAAGAGGAGAGTGAAAAAGCTGGCTTAAAACTCAACATTCAGAAAACTAAGATCATGGCATTCTGTTCCATCACTTCATGGTAAATAGATGGGGAAACAATGGAAACAGGGACAGACTTTATTTTCTTGGGCTCCAAAATCTCTGCAGATGGTGACAGCAGCCATGAGATTAAAAGACGCTTGCTCCTTGGAAGAAAAGCTATGACCAACCTAGACAGCATATTAAAAATCAGAGACATTACTTTTGCAACAAAGGTCCATCTAGTCAAAGCTATGGTTTTTCCAGTAGTCATGTATGGATGTGAGAGTTGGACTATAAAGAAAGCTGAGTGCCGAAGAATTGATGCTTTTGAACTGTGGTGTTGGAGAAGACTCTTGGGAGTCCCTTGGACTGCAAGGAGATCCAACCAATCAATCCTAAAGGAAATGAGTCCTGAATATTCATTGGAAGGACTGATGCTGAAGCTGAAACTCCAATACTTTGGCCACCTGATGAGAAGAACTGACTCATTGGAAAAGACCCTGATGCTGGGAAAGATTGAAGGCAGGAGAAGGGGAGGACAGAGGATGAGATGGTTGGATGGCATCACTGATGCAATGGACAGGAGTTTAAGTAGGCTCCAGGAATTGGTGATGGACTGGGAGGCCTGGTGCGCTATAGTACATAGGGTCCCAAAGAGCTGGACACGACTGAGTGACTGACCTGAACAACTCTGCATATAAGTTAAATAAGCAGGATAGCAATATATAGCCTTGACGTACTCCTTTCCCAATTTGGAAACAGTCTGTTATTCTGTGTCTGGTTCTAGCTGTTGCTTCTTGACCTGCATACAGATTTCTCAGGAAGCAGGTCAGGTGATCTGGTATTCCCATCTCTTTAAGAACTTTCCACAGTTTGCTGTGATCCACACAGTCAAAGACTTTGGCATAGTCAATAAAGCAGAAGTAGATGTTTTCCTGGAACTCTCTTGCTTTTTTGATGATCTAATGGATGTTTGATCTCTGGTTCCTCTGCTTTTTCTAAATCCAGCTTGAACATCTGGAAGTTCTCAGTTCACGTATTGGGTTGGAGAATTTTGAACATTATTTTGCTAACATGTGAAATGAATGCAATTGTGTGGTAGTTTGAGCATTCTTTGGCATTGCATTTCTTTGGGATTGGAATGAAAACTGACCTTTTCCAGTCCTGCAGCCACTGCTGAGTTTTCCATATTTGCTGGCACATTGAATGCAACACTTTAACAACATCATCTTTTAGGACTTGAAATAGCTCAACTGGAATTCCATCACCTCCACTAGCTTTATTAATAGAGATGCTTCCTAAGGCCCACTTGACTTCGCATTCCAGGATGTCTGTCTCTAGGTGAGTGATCACAGCATCATGGTTATCTGGGTCATGAAGATCATTTTTGTATAGTTATTCAGTGTATTCTTGCCATCTTTTCTTAATATTTTCTGCTTCTGTTAGGCCCATACTGATTCGGTCCTTTATTGAGCCCATCTTTGCATGGAATATTACCTTGCTATCTCTAATTTTCTTGAAGAGATCTCTAGTCATTCCCATTCTATTGTTTTCCTCTATTTCTTTGCATTGATCACCAAGGAAGGCTTTCTTATCCCTCCTTGCTATTATTTGGAACTCTGCATTCAAATGGGTATATCTTTCCTTTTCTCCTTTGCCTTTCTCTTCTCTTTGTTTCTGAGCTATCTGTAAGGCCTCCTCAGACAGCCATTTTGCCTTTTTGCATTTCTTCTTCTTGGGGATGGTCTTGATCACTGCCTCCTGTACAATGTCATGAAACTCCATCCATAATTCTTCAGGTATTCTATCAGATCTAATCCCTGGACTCTATTTGTGACTTCCACTGTATAATTGTAAGGGATTTGATTTAGGTCATACCTGAATGGTCTAGTGATTTTCCCTACTTTGTTCAGTTTAAGTCTGAATTTGGCAATAAGGAGTTCATGATCTGAGCCACAGTCAGCTCCTGGTCTTGTTTTGCTGACTGTATAGAGCTTCTCCATCTTTGGCTGCAAAGAATATAATCACTCTGATTTCGGTGTTGACCATCTGGTGATGTCCATGTGTAGAGTCTTCTCTTGTGTTGTTGGAAGAGGATGTTTGCTGTGACCAGTGCGTTCTCTTGGCAAAATGCTGTTAGCCTTTGCCCTGCTTCGTTCTGTACTCCAAGGCCAAACTTGCCTGTTACTGCAAGTGTCTCTTGACTCCTACTTTAGGTGTGGCTTTAGGTTTGCTGACTTTTTTAACTTAAGAGAATTAGGTCACAGTTGAAGCAGAAACAAGAACCGAAATCCTACTGCATTCACAGTAGGTGGCCTTCTGTCATACTTTCGCCCAGCCTTGTATCTGCTGAGTGTCTATCTGTCACCTCAAGTCCACGTGGGACAGAGAGGTCTGTACAAGCCGCCAGCCAGCTCTCAGGTGTCCCTGGCTGTCCCTGTGGACACGGCGTGCAGACAGCTCACGCAGCGGTCACTGTCCTGCAGGCTGCCCTCCAAGGTCAAGCGAGCAGCAGACTTCACAGCAGCCTCAGCCCGCCCTCAAGCTGCCCCCAGAAGGACCCCCAGCAGGACCCAGAGAGCAGGGGGCCCCAAGGCCCTCCCTGCTCTTCGGCTTCCCCGGGGACAGTACTGCTGGGCTGAAGGTACAGACAGGCCTCCCTGGGTTTGATTACCCCGCGTGAGCCCAAGGTCCCCATGGGCAGGGACATCTCAAGCTGCACGAAGCCCGCGATGGACTCCAGTGAGGGCCACCTGGGGGTGGGGTGGGGCGTGCGCCCTCCGCGGTGGGCAGAGGGGACAGCACCCCAGGTGAGAGGGGCTCGGGGGCCTGAGGAGGCCAATGGGGGCCAGAAGGGGGGGTCCCGCGCGGTGGCTGAGGGCAGCGCCTGGGCCAGTGGAGTCAGGGACACGGGGCCTGTAGTGGTGCATGGCTTCTGGGGCGGCCACCGCAGGCCCGGGGCCGAGTTCTGCTCCCGCGGCTGGCCTGGCCGCTGTCTGTCTTTCTGCATCTTCAGTCTCTCACATACATATTAAAATAGACGGCGACATCCACCTCGTTTCTCGGGGTGGAGGAAACATCCCCTGACACTGTCAGCCCCCACCGCTGCTGCTCACAGGGCACCGGGCCAGCTCTCCCCGACCCCGGCCAGGGCCCCGCCTCTTCCTCTCGCCACCTCCAGGTCCTGAAAGCAGGCGCGCTGGTCCCTTTCCTAGTGCCTTCCCAGGCTTCCCTGGCCAGGACACAATGCAGGACCGGCTTTGCCTTTGGTGGGCGGGGGGATGGGAGAGGGGTGGGCTGGGTGAGGGGTGAAGGGTGGGCGGGGTGAGCGGTGGGCGGGCTGAGGGAGTGGGCGGGGTGAGGGGGTGGGCGAGGTTAAGGGTGGGCGGGATGAGGGATGAGGCGGTGGGAGGGTTTACCTGTGGGTGGAGTTAGTGGGATTGGTGGAGCCCCCACCCCCCACCGAGACCCACCCAGGAGGCGGGGCCTCTAGAACTCCCAGCTTTCGCTGATGCAGCTCCTGGGTCCTCAGGAGCGCCCTGGGGTGCCAGGCCCTGATAGTTGACAATTTCCAGGCGGATTCGAGCCCAGGGCAGAAATGGTGGCGGGGTCTGCATGGCACAGACCCCCGATTTTCTGTCCCTAAGTTGAGGGCGCTGCGCGTGGGAAAGAGCCTACAGATAGGTGGGGGTGGCCTGGGCCGCAGGCCAAAGAGCAGCCCGCAGAGCTCCCTGGAGGACCCCTGCGCCACCCGCTCCGTGGAGGACACCGAATTCCAGCACAGCCGCGCCAGCCTGAGGGCGGCTAGGACAGATCAGGTCCCAAACCAGCCTCAAGGCCCTGCAGGATGTCCAGTTGCTCAGTCAAGTCCGACTCTTTGCGACCCCATGGACTGCAGCACGCCAGGCCTCCCTGTCCATCACCAACTCCCGGAGTTTACTCAGACTCAGGCCCACTGAGTCAGTGATGCCATCCAACCATCTCATCCTCTGTTGTCCCCTTCTCCTCCACCTTCAATCTTTCCCAGCATCAGGGTCTTTTCTAGTGAGTCAGTTCTTTACATCAGGGGTCAAAGTATTGGACCTTCAGCTTCAGCATTAGTCCTTCCAATGAATATTCAGGACTGATTTCCTTTAGGATGAACTGGTTGGCGCTCCTTGCAGTCCAAGGCACTCTCAAGAGTTCTCCAACACCACGATTCAAAAGCATCAGTTCTTTAGTGCTAAGCTTCCTTTATAGTCCAGCTCTCACATTCACACATGCTGCTGCTGCTGCTGCTAAGCTGCTTCAGTCGTGTCCGACCCTGTGCAACCCCATAGACAGCAGCCCACCAGGCTCCTCTGTCCCTGGGATTCTCCGGGCCAGAATACTGGAGTGGGTTGCCAGTTACTTCCCCAATGCATGAAAGTAAAAAGTGAAAGTGAAGTCGCTCAGTCAAGTCCGACTCTTCGCGACCCCATGGACTGTAGCCTACCAGGCTCCTCAGTGCATGGGATTTTCCAGGCAAGAGTACTGGAGTGAGTTGCCATTTCCTTCTCCAATCCATACATGACTACTGGAAAAACCATACCGTTGACTAGACGGACCTTTGTTGGCAAAGTAATGTCTCTGCTTTTTAAAACACTGTCTAGGTTGGTCATAGCTTTTCTTCCAAGAAGCAAGTACCTTTAAATTTCATGGCTGCAGTCACCATCTGCAGTGATTTTGGAGCCCAAGAAAATAAAGTCTGTCACTGTTTCCATTGTTTCCCCACCTATATACCATGAAGTGATGGAACCGGATGCCACAACCTTCATTTTCTGAATGTTGAGTTTTAAGCCAGCTTTTTCAGTCTCCTCTTTCACTTTCATCAAGAGGCTCTTTAGTTCCTCTTTGCTTTCTGCCATAAGGATGGTATCATCTGCATATCTGAGGTTATTGATATTTCTCCTGGCAGTCTTGATTCCAGCTTGTGCTTCATCCAGCCTGGCATTTTGCATGATGTACTCTGCATAGAAGTTAAATAATCAGGGTGACAACATACAGCCTTGTCGCACTCCTTTCCAAATTTTGATCTAGTCTGTTGTTCCATGTAGGGTTCTAACTGCTACTTCTTGACCTGCATACAGATTTCTCAGGAAGCAGGTCAGGTGGTCTAGTATTTCCATCTCTTCAGGAATTTTCCACAGTTTGTCATGATCCACACAGTCAAAGGCTTTAGCAGAGTCAATTAAGCAGAAGTAGGTGTTTTTCTGGAACTCTCTTGCTTTCTCTATGGTCCAATGGATGTTGGTATTTTGATCTCTGGTTTGTCTGCCTCTTCTAAATCCAGTTTAAACATCTGGAATTTCTTGGTTCACATAGTGTTGAAGCCTGAGAAGAAGGTGTTAGTTGCTCAGTTCAGTCGTGTCCAACTCTTTGCAACCCCATGGACTATAGCGCACCAGGGTCCTCTGTCCATGTTATTCTCCAGGCAAGGATACTGGAGTGGGTTGCCATTTCCCTCTCCAGACGACCTTCCCAACCCAGGAGTCGAACCCAGGTCTCCTGCAATGCAATTGAAACCTAGCTTGGAGAATTTTGAGCACTACTTTGCTAGTGTGTGAGATGAGTGCAATTGTGCGGTAGTTTGCTCATTCTTTGGCCTTGCCTTTCTTTGGGATTGGAATGAAAACTGGCTTTTTCCAGTCCTGTGGCCACTGATGAGTCTTCCGAATTTGCTGGCATATTGAGTGCAGTACTTTCACAGCATCGTCTTTTAGGATTTGAAAGAGCTCCGCTGGAATTACATCACCTCCTTCGGGAAGCACCATCACAAATGCCGGCTCAGCTGAACTGGGATTCTGTTTGTTTTTAGCTCAGTTGTGAAAATCTGAAGTCAGACTTCCAGGCTTGGGGACCCAGGGTCCATCTGTGTGGGGTGCGTGCAGACCTGCCAGGACCTGAGCCACACCCTCCCCGTGATGGGCTAGTGACCTGGGTGGGTCTGAGCCCACGTGGAGAGCACCGCTCCGCGGCCATTCCTGCCAGAGCTGCAGAGCACCCCCCCTCCTGCCTCAGGGTGTCCCTCCTGCTCCCCCCGCCCGCCCCACCCCCCACCTCTGGCGGCCCGGGGCCCTCTGCCCCGACCCCTCCGTTTGCTGGGCAACCACCCGTCTCCTGGAGCATGGAGCACCCCCAGTCTCTTTCCAGCAGTAGGCCTGGGAGACAGACTGACAGAGAGACAGGGGCTGGGTGTCATTTCAGTGATTCTGGAACAAGAACTAGTGCTACTTGCTAAAGAATGAACATGTTTTAAACTTGAATGAGACTTTGGGACTTATGTCCCAGCCTTTTCTCTTTTCTTGGAGGAGCGTCAGAACCTAGGTGAAAGCCCCAGGTGGCCGGGGAGCGGGCAGCGGAGTGACCCTCGGCCTGGTGCTCCTGCCCACCGCATCGCCCTGCACACGGGGCTTCTCTGCAGGGCTCTGAGCTCGGGGCAGAAGGCGCTGGCCTCCCTCCCCTGGACCCAGTGAAGCCGGGGCCGGGGATGGACCGGCGTGTGGACAGTGACCTTGCAGCAGCAGGGCTTCCAGCAGCTGATGTGCAAACCCCAGTCTCCAGGGAGTCCTGGGGGCCCCGCTGGGGTGCGTGTGTGCACCCATGAGCCTCGGTCCCTCTGCCTGCGGGCGCCGCGTGTCTCCGAGCGCCTGCGCCCCCTGCTGGCAGGTTCAGACATTACCGTCAGCGACGTGTCCTCTGAGTGTAGTGACCCGGTTCAACCAGGACAGGCTTGTCTGGGAGTGACCCTCACCCACCGCCTACCCCGGCCCCTAACCCTAAACTCCCCCTGGCTGCCCGCTTCATGCCAGCGCCCCATACAGATTTGGAAGGCGGTCCCTGGGGTCCCACCCGGTGGAGAAGGTCGGCACAGTGACGACACAGGAGCTGTGTCCATCAGGGTGGTGCCTGGAGTGAATGGAAGCCCTGGTGCATCCAGTGCTGTTGCAGGGCGGCGGTGGGGGGACTTCCCTGGTGGTCTAGCGGTTAAGATTCTGCGTTCCAAGTGCAGGGGACACAGGCTGGATTCTCCATCGGGGAACTAAGATCCCACATTCCACATGGTGCAGCCAAAAAAAAAACGGAGGGGGCAGGGGTCTTGGCACCTGGTAGGCTATGCAGAGAAGTGTGGTCTGCCTGCTTCATCGCTACTCACAGTGACCATGATCTGTGGGAGTGTCATTCTGAAAGGAACCGAGGACCCGGCTGCCTTAGCGCCCAGACGGAGGGAGCCCTCCGTCCAGTGCAGGTGGCCCGCAGCCGTCCTCCTCCTCTGAGGACCCCCCCGTCTTTATGGGGCCCCCTCCCCTCCAGCTGCTGACCAAAGCTGCCCCGAGCCTGGGCGGCCGACGGAGGAGGGGCCGGCGACCCCGCCTCCACGTGCAGAGGACCCGCCATCCTGGGTCTGCCCACGTGGCCAGAACTGCCCCCTTCCCGGGCACCTGGGCTGCTCTGGGGGACGCCCTCCCAGCCCAGGCGGGGTCTTCTCTGCTGTGTCCTCCGCCCAGTCCCTGGGGCCCCGCTCTGTCCCCAGGCTCAGTGGCCACCTCTCACTGGGGACACTGCCCGGTCCTGCTGTCTGGGAGTGAGGGTCCCTGGCCCCCAGGAAAATGCTTAGAAGAGGGAAACACCCAGCCCCCACCCCCCAACTCCAGGCCACCCCCACCTGCTCATCCAGCTCACTGGGGCCTCTCTCCCGAAATTTAGCCACCCAAGCTGAAGCTTTCAGCTACACCACGCAGCTGCCCCTCTGTCTGCAGTGGAGGTGCCCTCTCCCCCTGGGAGGACGTCCAAAGTCCTGCCAGCAGGACCCATCTCCGCCTCCACTTGCCACGCCCTTCCTCCTCCCAGGCCTCAGCACCTTTCCCAGGTTAAGGATTAGCAGCACGGCCATGGTCATGACAATAAGAGCCGGAATCGAAGGAGCTGATCCCAGCAGGACAGGCCAATCCCTGGCTCAGGCCACAGGCAGCCTGCGGGGTGTGCCCTGCTCTTCCTCTCCACCCACCTGCCCGCCCGCATGCTCTTGCCCGCCCTGGCTCCGCTGTGCAGGTCCTGACCTGGTGGGTGACCGGCCCTCAGTCATGAGTGGGTCACCCTGCACGGCTGGTGAAACCTTCCCCTGACCTCCCCCCGGGAAGCTCGGAGGCCCTCAGAGGACGCCTGGGCCCCAGCACACTCCTTGCTGTGGACGGAGTTGTGTCTCCAGATTCACACACTGAGGCCTGACGTCCTGTGGTCGCATTTGGAGGAGGGGCTTCTGGGAGATACTACGGTTAAACGAGGGCAGGGGTGGAGACCCGATCCCACAGTGTCAGCGTCCTTATGGGAGGAGGGCCAAGGGAGTCTGTCTCTCCCAGGGAGGACACACAAGATGGGGCGTCTGAGCCAGGAAAGGCCTCCCCAGGAGCTGGACTGGTCAGCACCTCAACCTCAGATTTCCAGCCCCCAAAAAAAGTCTGCTGTTTCAGCCTCCAGGCTGTGGGTTGCCACAGTGGCCGAGCAGGCCCAGCAAGCCCAGCCCTGGGGTCCTTGGTGGTCAGGAGCCGAGATCCAGCCAGCTGTCCGGTGGTTCCAAGGCCCCAGCAGCCCTGCAGCCCCACCGGCATCCCTGCAGGGAGCTCCCCACAGCTGCACGGCTGGGGTCAGCTAGGAGCAGTGCAAGAGCATGGACCCCCATCACCTCCACCGTGGGCCTAGGAGACGGGCGGCCCCCAGGCCGGTGCTGATGGGCAGCATGCTAGGGGCCTCATCAGCATGCTAGGCTGATGAGGGGCCTTCAGCCTGCAGGCCTGCTTTCTCTCAGGTCAGCCGTTTCTGGGGTCTGGATTCTTTCCAGGGAACCCATCCCTCACGCTTAGCTGTGAAGTGAGTTTTGGGGTCAGAAACATGCATAGAGAATCCTCTGAATAAACATTCAGGAGGACAGGGCGGGTGAGTGAGAAACCCTCTGGGTGGGGAAGGCGGGTGGATGTCCCAGCCAGCACCTGCCCAGCAAGGATGCGTTTCCCATGTCCCCGACCGCAGAGGGGACCCTGCTCCTGGGCACTGAACCATGCACCCAGCCCTGGCTGCAGCCAGCAGGGCCCTGGGGAGGGGAGGCCACGCCTCCAGCCCACCGCGTCTTCCCTCTGCCTCCTCTTCCCTGAGCTCCCCAGGAAGGGTGGGGAAGAGGCAGTTCACCCACAGAGAGGGGTGTGCCATCCACCTTCACACCAGGCTCCGGGTCCCTCTGGGGAGCATGGACAGGGGCAAACATCCTCTGGCACTCTGCGATTCGCACAGGTCCATCCACAAAGCACCTCCCAGGCCACCTGGTCGCCAAGTGCCCGGTCACCTTCCTTTCAGGTTGACCATCAGCCAAACAGGCAGTGGTCCCCAGACACTAGTGTGGATGGTCCTCCAGCCACTACTCCTTCCTTTATTTTTTAGGCTCCAAAATCACTGCAGGTGGTGACTGCAGTCACGAAATTAAAAGATGCTTGCTCCTTGGAAGAAAAGCTATGGTCAACCTAGACAGCAGATTAAAAAGCAGAGACTTACTCTGCCAACAAAGGTCCATCTAGTCAAGGCTATGGTTTTCCAGTGGTCATGTATGGATGTGAGATTTGGACTATAAAGAAAGCTGAGCACTGAAGAATTGATGCTTTTGAACTGTGGTGTTGGAGAAGACTCTTGAGAGTCCCTTGGACTGCAAGGAGATCCAACCAGTCCATCCTAAAGGAGGTCAGTCCTGGGTGTTCATTGGAAGAACTGATGCTGAAGCTGAAACTCCAGTACTTTGGCCACCTGATGAGAGCTGACTCATTGGAAAAGCAATCCCTGATGCTGGGAGGGATTGGGGGCAGGAGGAGAAAGGGACGACAGAGGATGAGATGGTTGGATGGCATCACTGACTCGATGGACATGAGTTTGCGTAAACTCTGGGAGTTGGTGATGGACAGGGAGGCCTGGCATGCTGCGATTCATGGGGTCGCAAAGAGTAGGACACGACTGAGCCACCGAACTGAATTGAACTGATAGGCTGTGCTCTGATCGCCCTGTGCTCTGATTGGCTGGCATCAAGAAAAAGCTTTGTGCATCAGCAACCTTCTGACTGAAACTCATCCGCAGTCAGCCGCTTCCCTCAGGTGGGGTCTGCTCCATGCTGAAACACTTAGGAATGCGTGTCAGGCCTGCGCCCGTGTCTTCCGGGCCGCGGGGCCCGCCCTCGTCCTGGGAGGGTTTGTGGACGGAGCTCCCCTAGGCTCTGGGTCGTCGTCATGGTCGTCGTGCCGGAAGCCCGGCTCTTGCGGAGCTTGTCCCCCGGCGCCTATCAGGCCTGCTCGCCCAAGGCCCTTCCTCCGTCCCTTTCCGAGCTGCTGTGCTTGCCTTCCCGCCTCACCTGGACGCCCAGGGGCCTGGAGCCGGATGGATCCCTCACCAGGACGCGCAGGTCCAGCTGGGCCTCTCCAGACCTTGCCTCTCCAGACTCGGAGCGCCGACAACATCCGCCTGGGCACAGACTGTGGCCTGTGGTTGAGACCTGGCTCTGCCGGGCGTGCGTTCAGGCCCTGCTGCTGCGAGACCCCGGGATCCTTCGGGGCCCCAGGCAGCCTCACATCCCCGGGAGCCCCCAGGAATCTGCGGAGGCCACAGCCCATTGGCCGTCCTGCTTCCGCGCTGACCCCACCGGGCGTCTTACCCCAGTGGCCATCTGACACGCACCTTCCACCCCGCCCGTAGCCTGCGGTGGTGTCTCCCTTCACGGCCAGAGCTCAGGCAGAGGCCTCGGCAGGTGGGGCTGCCCCAGGAGGTGCCGGTGGGGGTCGCACCTGGGCTGGGCAGGGCTGGAAGGTCCAAGAAGGTCCGCCTGTCTGTCACCTTGATGTCCCCCACCTGGCCCCTGGCTCTCCAGGCAGCGCCTGTCTCTCTCCGTGTGACCCCATCTCTCTCCAGGCCATGTCTTGCCTGAGCTGTGTTACCACCTGGTTTCCAGAAAGGGGACTGCCCGGCTCCTAGCTGCTGATCGGAGCAAGCTGCAGCCCAGTCTAGATCCGAGGAGGGGAGACCACGGGCCTCAGTGCTTGGTGAGAGCCAGGGCCACGTGCACCAGGAGCGGAGGGGAGCAAACCCAGGACTCCCAGCACCCGTGGCGATGACACAGTGAGTGTGTCCCTGCCGTTGCTGGAGCGTCACCAGTCACATGTCCAGACCAGACAGCACCGTGAAGCGCCTGGCTCAGCGTTAAGCCCTCAGCCAGCAGGGGACGGGAACACAGAACCCTCTAGCCTGCCATGCAGGAGGGGCGGCTGGCAGAGGCCGGGAACCCATCTCAGGACGCCTGGGCTTCGGCCTGGGCCCCTCCTCCTGTGCCCGGAGCCCGCACGCCTGCTGCGTCCAGATCTGGGTGCTGCCTGGGCCAGTCACCCGCTGCCTACGATGCTCTGTGAACACAGGTCCCAGCCTGAGGCCCAGGAGAGAAACTTCTGGCCGCCCAGGCACTGTACCTTCAGAGAAACAGACTGGGCCCCCACCCCAGGGTGTGGCATGACTCCCGGGGACCGCAGGGCCCAGACCATCACTCAGGCGTCCTCCCGCAGGATGCAAGAGGGGCAGGGGCTGGGAGCAGGCTCACCTCTCCTCTCCTGCAGGCCTCCTGGTGGCAGGTACTCAGGGGAGTTTGGCCAGACAAGCCCCCATGGCCCAGGCCCATCATCACTTTCCAGACTCTGACTGCCCACCCTGCGTGACTGTCAGGGACTCTGCCTCTCATGGGAACAGAGGCAGGTCCCGCGCGGACCGTGTGGAGCCTGGCACCCGCGCCCACAGCTACCATGAGCTGTGGGGTCTGATCCCCCTTAACTGGCACTGTCATTTCTTGTAGCTTCTTAATAGCTCATTATCCATCTCCCAACACCTCTCGTTCTGCACTTCCCACAGTACTATTAATACATGAAACTACGATACTTAGTATTTAGGAAAACTGTTATTTTTAAGAATGGCCAACTTCTCCCTGGATACCCTGAACCCAGAATCAGTTAGAGGCTGTCACACCAGCTCATAGTGATGCTGGGCCTGGGAGGACACTCAGCTGGGAAGTGACGTCATTCATGTCCATGGCCCCGTCCTCCCCGCCCTCCAGCCATGCCCCTCCCCCGCCAGGCACAGGCATCGGCCCTGACTCTGCTTACTCCTGGTCCCCGGTCCCTTGCCTGTCCCTGCCGCCACCGTCCACTGGGGCCTGGCAACCTGAGCCTCCCGCCCCCAGACAAGGTGGGGAGGTGTGGGTACAGCTGCAGCTGTGCCGTGCAGGCCTGCAGCCCCAACATCCCTGCATCCTTCATCCCTTCCTCCAACTCCTCCTCCCTCCCTCCCTCCATCCCTTCCTCCATCCCTTCCTTCTTCCCTCCATCCCTTCCTCCCTCTATCCCTTCCACTGTTTGTCCAGCAAACACAGCCTTAGCTCCCACCACACTGGATGTTGGGGGCGCTCTCGGTTCTCTGCAGAACTGAGGAGCAGTCCATTCACTGCAGCATCAGGACCACGGAGCAGACAGTACACTCACGTGGGTGGGAGGGCAGAGGCCCCCCCACCCCTCCTTCATGGGAAACTTCCCTCCAAAGCTCAGGGGTTGAGTGGGGTCCAGAGCCGACGGGGAACCAGCCCACCTGCCTGGCCTCTGAGCAGAGCAGTGACAGAGTCCTGGGAACAGTGGGACAGAAGCGGGGGAGCTGGACACTTGTCCCCACAGGGAGGGAGGGACCGCATAGGGGAGAGGGGATGGAGGTGGGTCTGTCTGTGCCCACAGCAGGGTCAGCAGTGGTAGAGGTGTCGGGACGCCCTCCCCTGAACAGGAGGAGTGAGGGGAGAGGAGGGGGCCCTGGGTGGGTTCCCCAACCTAATGTCCAAAAAAGGGACCGCTGGGTGAGTGCACTGGAATACAGGCAGCCACCGTGGGCGCCTCTGGGAGGGAGATGCTGGAGGGTGCAGAGGTGGGACACCAGGCCCCCTCCCCCACCAGGACAGCGTGGCCCCCAGTGCACTGCGGTCTGGGGGGGCGCCAGGCCCCCTCCCCCACCAGAACAGCATGGCCCCTAGTGCACTGGGGTCTGGGGGGGGGCGCCAGGTCCTCTCCCCCGCCAGGACAGCGTGGCCCCTGAATATGGCCTGGCTTCCCCTCCTGAGGACCCCCCCCAGGGCAGGTGGCTGGGGGCAGGGTCTCCCTAAAGCCCCCTCCCCTCCCAGGAGCGGAGCCCGGGGCTCCCCACCCCCTCCCTCGGGTCACTGCTGGAACCCTCGGCGCCCCTCCTCAGGTGCCCCCACCATGACCCCTTTGCCCTGCACACCGAGGGCTGGGGATGGTGGCACCGTCCCCGCAAGGGGGACCGGCTTGTCCTCCAGAACTTCAGAAGGGAGTAGGGGCGGGGTGGGGCTCGGGCCGACCCCAGAACAGCCCCTCCTGGACCATCGTCCTGGACAGTCCCATCTGGCACCTTCCGGCTGGCAGAGGCCCTTCATGCTCGACACAGCAGGAGAAAGAGGGTGTGGGCCACAGCGACTAAGGGTCTGTGGTGGGGCCAGGCCTCAATGTGGGCCAAGGTGGGCCGTGGGGGCTGGCCCCAGGCAGAGCCCCAGGGCTAAGGGGCGCGGAGGCTGTCGGGTCACAGAGGAGAGGGTGGGGGGGGGCGGGGCGGGGGTGTCTGGATTCTCTAACGAGCCTCGGACAGGGAGAGGGGGGCTGGCTCCTGACCCCAGGATGAGGAGGGGCCTTACCTGCTTGGGCGAACTGAGGACGTGGGCAGGGGCTTTCCTGGGAGGCTGGCCCCTCCCAGCCCCGTGGACTTCAGGGCGGAGGGCCCACCTGCTCCCCAGCCACCTCTGACCCTGCCTTTCCCAAACCCCAGTCTGAGTGGCCCCTCCTCCTTTCTCCAACCTCTGACCTCTGACCTGTCCCCTGTCGGAAGACCTTGGTCAGGCACCCCACCCTCCTGGACACTTTGCCAGCCTCTCACGTGTTCAAAGCTGACTCAGGCATTGCCTGCCCCACGACCTTGCCCTGTGAACGATGGCTGCCACCCAAGGCCACACCCCAGGCCTGGCCCAGTTGACCCTGCAGCCCAGTGAACACAGGGCAGGCTCCTCCCTCACACCCGGGGCCCTCCGGCCGCAGGGGCCCCCAGCCCGTACGAGCCCACCTCAACCCCTGGCCTCACCCCAGCCCTCACTGGTCCTCTTGCTCTAGAGCCTGCACCCCAGTAGCACCTCCGAATGTCCTGCATCCGCTCCAGCGCAGGGCTGTGTCCCGGGGGTGCGCCCCTGACCTCAGGAGGGTCCCCAGAGCTTGGTCTCCTTCCCCTCACCCACCTGAGGCTTTCGCTGGTGTCGCCGCCCCCTGACGTCCAGCCCGGCCTCTGCTGACCACCCTGACCTCCTGCCCGAGGCTCTGGGGGGCGGGGCCTAGCTGCCTGGGGGCGGGGCCTAGCTGCCTGGGGCGGGGCCTAGCTGCGCGGTCTGGCAGGCAGGAAGCTGAGCATGGCAGCGCTTGTGCCCGCACTGCGTCCCTTCCCAGAGCCAACGCTCCTCTACAGGAGATCTTGCAGAATGTGCGAGAGTAAGCTGAGAGAGGCCTTCTCAGGACGTCCTCCCCTGTCTTCCTCTCTTCACTCAGCTCTCTCTTACGGGCCACTGTTGACCTCTAACCCTGGACATCCCCGAGGTCTGCCAATCCGCCCCTCCAGGAGCACCCAGACTGCCCCCAGGGGATTGGTGATGGGTCGCTTCCTCCACCCCGCTGGGGCTGCACCAGGTGCGGCGTCTCTGCAGCCCCCTCTGTATCATTCTCAGGGCCCCTCAGGGTGAGCAGTCAGCACACCCCGGGTTGGGCACCCCTTCTACCCCGCCCTCCCCACTCACCTGCTGCAGCCGCACCATCTCGGCCCTGGGAACTCCGAGGGGCCCCCAGCCTGCCTGGCTCGGCTGGCTCACCTCCGGGTGGTGAGCCGCGCCACTGGCCTGACCCCCGCCCGCCTCTGCGGCCCAACTCTGACCCAGACCCCCTTGGTCATCCTTGAACATGGGGGCCCTGGGGGTCCTTCCCCGGCCCCTCTCCCCCACCTGCAGCGACCTGTCCTGAATGGCGCCTGCAAGGAGTAGGCGCTCCGGACAGGGCGCTGTGGGGCCGCTGCGCTGAAGGTGGTCAGCGGCCGCTCCGCGAGGCGTCCTAAGACCGGAGTCCCGCAAACGTCCCCCTTTGTTCAGCTGTGCCTTCCGTTACAGAGGCTGCGGGACCCCCAGCGGAGTCCACACCTGGGGAGCTGGCCCATGGTCCGCGCTGGTCCCGGTGAGGACTGTCCTGGGCCTCGGGACCCAGGGAGCCGCGTGATCACGCAGAAGCGGTTCTGAATGGTTGAGTGAATCTCGAATTTCATTCTCATGATACACATGCTCCTCCTGACCTACACCCCCTCGCAAGCAACCGTGGTAACCCGAGGGGCAGCGGTGCCTGGCACGGGCCAGCAATATGGCTCGGGCCCCCGAAGGGCAGTTCCTGCCTGCATGCAGCTGCCCAGGCCACCAGCAGCCGGGGTGCGGCCCGGGCACAAAGGCACGGCAGCTGTGCTCGGGGGACCCGCCTCCTTGGAAGACCCCACCCTCCCACCTGCTCTGTGAGGTCTCTGTGCGCCTAGGGTCTCCCCAGGTGCTGAGTGAGGAGCCCTG